AGGACTTGTATTTGATCTACAGATGAATGATGGAATAGTGTAATTTACTTCTGTACATCAATTCGGTCTCACTGTATTTCAGTGGACGGCTTTTAAAAGTTAAAACTGCAAGCATAATACACACAAATAACGTAACACTGTGTTGTATTTACTTAACTTAGGGCAGTTGTGCTATATCCTACGGGAGGGCAAAATTATTAATTAATAGGCATTATAGGCCAAAGGAAATTTTGCACCCCATTCACACTTATGCCTGGGGGTGACTGCCCTCCCCTTGCCCCCCTTTTGCTACGCCACTGCCTGAATCAAGTTATCTCTAGTTCTTCTTCACTCCAGAGAAAATAAATTTAAATCCTTGTGTGAGTCTTGCTTCATAAGTTAAATGTTTCAAACTTGGGATCATTTTGATACTCAATCTTTGAAATTTTGCAAGCAAGTCATTACTGTTTCTCCAATGGAAGGACCAAAAGTACTTGAAATGAAGAATACCAAACTCTCGTACAAAGTAATGATAACGTCATTACTCACCAACTCAAAATATCTGTAAATAGATCTCAGGACTGAAGTGGCTCTCTCTACCATTTTCAACACATCTAGTAGAAAGTTGAGGTTATTACTGATCATCCCAAATTCTTCTCACCCTCCACAACACTGTTATTTCTACCACACACAAAGAAAAGCATATGGCTGTGAATCAGGAAATTATCGATTCTCATTTTCAACTCTTGAAATTTGTCAGTCTGAACTATTGCTGATTATTAGACAAAGTTTTGAATTTTGGGCATCTAGTTTTGCAATGTGTATTTAATGCTATATCATAGAGAAAACTGAGTGTGATAGTTTGAAGCAAATCATGTATGTTTTAAATGGAAACAAAAATGAACCTTTTATCAACATGTTAGAATTTGATGCAAGCTTGTTTAACCCTATATCTACTGGCATTTTTTTTTTCTGCATATCACAAGGTATTAGTAAATTTCATTCAAAATTTAATTAAACTACTTTGTTTTCATAGTATCCCAATAAATATAGCATAAAACTGTAGCTGATAATCCATATTTTAATGGTATACAAGTTTTGGGTTTGTAATTTTATAAGGCATTATTAAAAAATTCTGAATTTCCCCTAGTATGAGAATTGTGATATTTTCTCTTCAGGCATCCCCTCTTCTCTAATTTATTTATAACCCTTCAAAGAAGTGCAAATTTTAATGTAACTTACTCTTTATAATGTTGTCATCGCTCAAGAAAAGCATACTTTTATAACCTTCAATCTCATTTGGTTACAGAGCCAACAGATATGAAATCAGACCACTCTTTCAATGCTTCTTGTCACATTCTCTCTATCAGAAATTTCTAACAGTTCTCTCTGATGTTGAATACTATATTATTTATCATTAATAGAAAGCCAAGGTTTTAATCTATCAAATGCCATGTTATATTACATTGTTTTCTGTACAGACAATTGTCAATTTCGCTTTTAGTTCAAGCTTTATTCCCATGGGAAATACATCGACGAACTGAGATAAGTTTTTAACGGCTCTTGTCACTTAGTTAGAAAGCCAGAAAAATTGTGAAAGATATGCAATAGTATCATTAGTATAAAAAGTGGGGTTAAGTGTTATCAATAGTTGGCCGGAAAAAAAAAGGAAGACCCAGATAAGTACTTTATTTCTTGTTTTTCATGTGTAATCTTTATCTATTGTTATAAAAGTAACTAAAATGTAAAAGTAGGAAACTTTTTAGGTTAGTTAAGGATAGTTTCAGGGTTTTATATATGAGGGCTTGGATTCTTTATAGCAGGTGTCTGTGACTTGTTGGCGATAAATTCAAACAATAAACGGACAGCAGACAATCATCATTTTAACTCTTTTTCCACATGGGCTCGGTCAATTTGACTGACCACATGATGTTTTTGTACTCGTATAAATTCTTTATAGATTTGATACTACTAACTGTATGTTTTGGCAGGCATTCAGAGAATTTGTTCGTCACTTATATGCTTGCTGGTTGCACTTTCCTGTTTCTTTGGTCGACTGGCTACTGTTTACTCGTTCCAAACATTAGTGCACCTGTTATCATTATCAGATGCTCCTTGAGGCTGCTATAATGGGCTGTTAATCAAGTTGAAGAAGTCCTTACGTGACCTATCCAATATCTTGTCCATTTGGGTGTTTTCTTTTTCTACACACATCTCGGTTGGGCCCGCTGTTCTCCTCTTTGACTTCATTCAATGGGGTTTCAGTTTGATTACAGCTTGTGAAGAAGTTTTGTCACTTTTTGGAATACGATTTTACACGTAGCCCTTATTCTCTTAGGTTAGGTGCATATGTGGGCTCTTTTGTGGGCTTTTCACAACCAATTGAATTTCACAGGGATCCTTTGTGAGCTGTTATTACTATTCCTCTTACCCTTGTCATCTATCGGCATTGGGGGTTAGATATGACTCACACATTGGCATCCTGCTTCCTCCTCATCTGGTTATCCAAATTTAATGGACGCATCCAATCAGGACATGGGTTGATTAACTGGAAGATTCTTGGATTTTGGTCTGCAGCCAAGAGGTCTCCTAGCAATGTCCTGAAGCATCTTGCTGTTGGTCATGTTTTGGTTCATTTTCTCTATCTGGCCAGAAATCGTCTGGTAATGATTTATTCCAACTTTTCTTTAGAGGTTGCTTATCTCAATCACCAGGGCGACACCCATTTTCCATCCCTCTGTATTCTTACGTTCGATCTTCTTTCTGGACCCACATGCTTAATTTTCCTATCAGTGTGTGTCATGTTCTGGGTCTTTTCACTCTTGTCATGGATCAAATTCTTATCCAGACAACATTTGTCCAGTGGATTTGACTTCAGTGGGGTACTCTTCACATTAGGCCTTTGCTACGTCTCTTAACCACTAATTGCCTTGGGTCTCTCGTTCCTCATCTTCTTGCTCTGGCTATCTATGTTTTTAGTCATGATTGGACCTACACATTGTTCCGTTCTTCTGTTCTCCTTCTTCTCTCGGTAATTTTGTTCATCCTTGATACTCCATGTTCAACCCTTCTGATAGCTCTTTCCTGGCTGTCTCAGCTATGGTTTCCACAGATTCTCTAGTTACAACTTCCTCTGTTACCTTTTCCTTTGTCTCCATCCCTTCTTCGCCACCCTCAGTCACGGGTGTTTCATCCAGACCTTTCTGTCTTCCGTCTTCATGCTTTGTTTACCTCTGGT